GGTGCCCTGGTGCTGTAGAAGGTACCTTAGGTTGGTCTGTTCGACCATGAAAACCGTACATGATTTGAGTTCAGAGCGTGGTGACACAGTTCGATTTCTATCTACAACGATCAATCCCAACTTTTCTGAGTCCTAGTACGCAAGGAATGGTCTCAGCGATGCTTGACTATATTGGCCCCATCGACGTAATCAACTTCTGGTTGCTGCAAAGAAGGAAGACAAAAGGTTTAGGGATTAACAAGGCATATGCCATGTGGGTGCATAGCCCCTGGCATATTATGGAATTAACACTAGGGCTCATTATACTAATAGTGTTGACATATGGATTAAAAGCCCCGACTTTAAGATTAGCTATACTACTTGCGGGGGTTGTGGGGGCTACTGAGTTATTAACTGTGCCCCATTTACTATGTTGGACACAGGCTATTAAAATGTTGGTGATGATAAGTGGACTAGCTATACTATGTATGCTGGACCATCAAACATCGCATCGATCAAGCTCTTTATTGATTTTATTAGAGATCTTTGGTAATTTATTACTTATAGGGTCAACAAATTTAATTTCTATATATTTAGCATTAGAGATGTAAACATTATGTATGTTTATCTTAGTGGCTTATAATAAAAGCTCATTGTTATCGGCAGAAGCTGGACATAAATACTTTGTGTTAGGGGCACTATCTTCGGGGTTGTTTCTGTTTGGTTGTACTTTAAATTATGGCTTCACAGGAGAACTTGAACTTTAATTTATTCGTATGAGTTTAGAATCTTATGCTGTTTTAGCTGGTAAGTGTCTTATTACTATCTCATTGTTATTTAAAGTGTCTGCAGCCCCATTTCAAATGTGAGCCCCCGATGTATACGAAGGAGCTCCAACTTGGGTAGCTGCGCTATTATTTATTGTACCTAAATTAGGAGTACTAGCTATTATAGTACAAATAGGCTTAAATGAAATTGGGCTATTAATAGCGGGGTTGATCTCTTTGATTGTTGGAGCTATAGGAGCTTTGAATCAAACTCGAATAAAAAGACTACTAGCTTATAGCGGAATAGGCCATATGGGGTTTGTGTTACTTGGAATAGCTATTGGGTCTATAGAAAGTCTTTAGGCAAGTTTAATGTATATAGGTGCTTACATAATAACTCAAGTATTACTTTGGTCTGGAGTCCTAATTATATCCCCTAAAAGAAACATGCTTATTAAATTTAGTGGTGTTTCAAGATTAAACCCAATGTTAGCATTAGCATTAGCTACAGGTTTATTGTCTACTGCAGGAATTCCTCCTTTAATTGCGTTTCTAACTAAATGGTAGGTAATTTTAGCAGTTGTTGGTCAAGGTTACTATCTCAGTGCTTTACTAGCTTTAGTTTGTTCTGTGATAGCTGGAGTTTATTACATTAGATTAGTAAAAATTATGTTCAATCAACCTTTGTCTACGCCTTTAGTAATAATAAATATGTTAAATTCTCCATGTGGCAATATAACACAAGAGGAAACAAGTTTAGGCAAGCAATATTAATGGGGGCAAGTTTATATTTAGTGTTAACAATTATAATATGTCCTAGCTTATTCTTTCAATTAGTACACTTGATTATCTTAGATTTATTCCAATGTATCTTCTAGTTATATTAATACCATTACTAAGCGAAGTCGGAAGCGGATTAGGGGGTCGCTATTTAGGAAGAAAGGGGGCTGGCTTGTTAAGTTCTTTGTGGGTTCTCGTCAGCAGTCTCCTTTCTTTTGTGTTATGTTATGAAGTCCTGATTAATGGGTCTACAGTATATATAGAGTTAGGCAGATGGATAGAGTCAAATTTACTAATAACTAGCTTTGGCCTACAATTGATATGGTAACAGCTGTTAATTGTAATAAATGTTAATTGTAGTTACAGCAATTAGCGGGTTAGTTCATGTGTATTCTACAAGTTATATGTGAGAAGATCCCCACTTATCTAGGTTTATGTGTTATCTGTCGTTTTCCTTTTTTATGTTAATTTTAATTACTAGTAATAATTATGTGCAATTATTTATTGGTTGGGAGGATGATGGTTTATCTTCTTATTTATTAATCAACTTTTGGTTTACGCGCATACAAGCTAATAAGGCGGCAATTAAAGCAATGTTAATCAATAGAATAGGAGACATAGGATTAATGCTGGCTATTATATTAATCTGGAAAGAATTTGGGGCAGTAGATTGCTGTAGTTTATTTCCGGCTTTATCACCATCTTCAGCTTGTATTTGGATTTGTATATTATTAACTATAGGGGATGTAGGAAAATCTGCTCAATTAGTGTTACATACTTGGTTGCCGGATGCTATGGAAGGGCCGACTTCTGTTTCGGCCATAAATAGAATTTTGACTCTCAAGATGACTATCGCTAAGGTTGTCGAAACGTCAGTCAACAACAACAAAAACAGTCCTTCTCGGGACTATACCAACCTGGACGATCTACATTTATGCATAAATCAATTCCAAGAGTTACCATCCCTCCCCCGGGAATTTGGCCGGGTATTTGATTTTTTTCGTTTTAATAGTTCAATTTCCCCGCTGCCGGGGAGAGGCAAGAAGGCAAATACTCGGCCCCCGGCAAGCTGCCAACGGCAAATGCCTTGCTCCCGGACCAATTTAATTTAAATTACGAAAATTAGGAACACTTTTTAATACTTTATTAAACAAGATATATGAGAGATCCTACAAAAAATAAATGTAGTAAAAGAAATTCGTTCCTGAGTTATTTTCCCTTGCTCCGCTTTTCTCTTGTTGCTTTTGCTTTTCCAGCACCTCTTTTCCTGTTCACAGAAATTTGCGTCAAGTGCTGAAGCCACAATTTAACATCATCGGTTGACAGCAAACATTTCTTGGCAAGCATGCTTATGTCAGTATCCTCTACACATCCACCACTGTAATTCTTGTGAAAGTCTGCCAGTATTTCAGACGGCGGCGGCCGGCGGGCTCCTTATAGCTTTGCCAACTGCATATAAATTTAGCAGCTCTGACACATCGGTGACATAATGCCCATAGCAAACTCACGTGCATGTTTCGCAATCTTCCCTCCGCAAGGTCTCTGCATCAGCAACTGGGTAAGGAAAAAAACTACACGATGGTCCGTCTGGATACAAAGAGATGGGAATTGGTACTTAATGTCGCGTTTAATTGAAATCAATAGTCGCGACTCGCGTACTCAAATGGTGCCAAATCTTCGGGGGTATTACAGCCGAAGTAAATACCCGACTCCCGAGCATCTCTTTTACGAGCAAATTCCCGACCCCCGAGAAAGGTCTCCAGGGCAAATGCCTAGGGATATCCCGGGGGGTGTGGTAACTCATGGTATTGACTCATGCATTATAAGAATAATGAGGAAATGAGATAAATTAATGGACAGCGTGTTACAAAACTAAACAAATCTTTTCTATTAATTTCATCAACTGTAGCACCAACTTTCAAATAAAGAAGCCCTTGTACCTGTCGTCTGTGGCAAACCATGAGGCTAAAAAATGACTATACCTGTTCTTTTGTTATAGGATCTTTTTGTATGAGTTATTAGCAGAAAATACACATCGAAAAACTTCGCTCTTTTCACATGCAACCATCAACTGATAAAGAATATCATTAGCCCAAAACATTTGCAACATTATCACATCCCTCTCCCTCCCCCATACAAAGCAATAGTCTTGGTGCTCATGCAAGCGGAAGTAGTCGTAAGAAAACGTGATTTAACTTTTCTTCATTAGTCTTGTTTTTGTCATCGTTTATGGGGTTGTTTGGTTGTATGAGCTATGAAAAATTATATGTGTGTATGAAATTTATGAAATGAAGGAAAAAAATCGTCAGAATTTGCACGCGAGCGATGCAATTTTCAAACGTCGCATGCTTCATGATTCCGTAAACACATCGTCATTAATGTCTGTAAAACGTACAGTAAGTTTTTAATGATTTATAATATAGATTTTGAACAAAATTATCTGGCGAGTGCATTTTATTTTATATTTGGTCATAAATGAAACAGTAATTTTGAACATTTTATGAATTATGCTGTAGAATGTAGTCATTGTTATTGGTGTTTTGTTGAGAAGGACCAAAAAGGCAACACATTTGTTTTTTTTATTCATTTTATTTTAAATTTTAATTTATCAATGCTGCATTCGTTTATGTGTTAAATGAGACAACACATCTTTGAATATAATGGTAGCAAAATATTTAAACAAAAGCAACAACCTCAGTTTGGATTTAATCAAATTAGTGCCGAATACAATTATATTTTTCAAAACTTTGAAATACTTTGAGACTTATTATAAAGTTACCAGTCACACAGCATCTCTTACTAATCTTGCATTCTGAAATATATGTTGGAACATGGCATTTTTTGCTTCTTCACAAAACACTGTATGTGTTGGTTTTATAAATTGTTATATGTATGTATGTATGATCTCAAAAGCACCAGATTAATTATGGATTTAAAATAAATAACAAAATTTTTTATTATAAACATGTTTCGACTTTCCAGTCTACTGAAGTTGACTTAATGTAAGTTGATGTTTATAATAAAAAAGTTGTCGTTTATTTTAAATGCCTAATTGTTGTATGTGGTGGGTTTTTAATTCACCCGACCATTTAATACAGTTTTGAACAATGAAAAATCAAATTTGAATCTTGGAAAAGGTGACAATGTCTACTTAATATAGGTGGACTGTTCAGTGAAGGTCACTTAAATATTATTTATATTTTGAATTTTTGGGACATTACCACACAATTGCAAAAAATAACCACTGTATGAAAAAGTGTATGCTCCAAACAGATGTTTTGAAACAAGTCACTTTCTTACGTAATTCATTCATATTTAAATTGTTATGCATCAAGATTGTTCTGTTGTAGGGAAAAATGTTTCAGTTCCTAACTCCCTGACAAAACAACTATATTACAATAAACCAAGCACCCACAAAGGAATTCAAAATAATTTCATTTAAAATAATTCACTTAAGGAAGACTGGGCAAAAAAAATTCCAGTGCCACATCTTCCTCTATGGTTTGTCAAAACTACACATTATTATTCCCAATTGCTAATTATTGCTCTAACTAGTAAATCAAATGAATACAATATTTGTCACATTATCACTGTCTTGAGAAATTACATTTTTATTGTCTTTCACATGTATAAATATTGTGCTTTAGCACATGTTTCTTTTGCTGGAAACTCTTTAAGACAAAATTTCTTTCCTTAAGAATTTTAAAATGAAACGAATGAACTAAAGACTGCTGAATCTTATGGCAAAGACAGTGAATATTCTGAAGATGGTATGTAAAAATGACAAATTTGTAAGAAATTTATAATGTACAAACTGACAAGTGGCGAACGTTTGACATTTTCTAAAGAAATGAGTTTTACAAAATCAACATAGCCCGTTGAAAGATGTCTTGAAAGCAGACTGGGATTTTTTCTCTGTAGAACAGAGCATGTGCTCAATACTGCCAACAATTACAAGAGATACTATGTAGCTATGTACAAGCTTAAACCGTTAGCTACTTATATATGACCAACAGTGAGATATTAATTATCGTGCTAATTTCACGTTCTTTGCAAAGTGTTCATGTAGCTAATATTTTTCATTGTATATTTAGCACACCTATCTAAAATTCACAGACAACGTATGTAGTTCTGGGTATGTGGCTATTGAGCAAAAACATGTTTAGATCACAACTTACGTTCATTCGTATGCAATATAAATTTCTTCATGACATGGTGTACGTTGAACTTTCATCTTTGAAAAACGTTGCTTAAAAATAGTGTCGCTATTTGTTGGCAACGTTAAAATTTAACTATTACGAATTTGCAATAAAAGTAAAATAATCACTCATATATTGATATATACTATCATTTCCATTTTAACTTAGGAAGAATTTGTATAAGTATTGTTTCCCTATCGACAATGTAAGTTTTCTTCCAACGAAAAGTTTTTCTTTATTCCATATTTGTAGAGTGATTTACTGTAATCCAAGAAAACAAAAGTGTTTTAAAAGGACTTTCTCCATTACAGCTTTACCATGTCTCCTGCCATTAATGAGATAACCACTATAAAACATGGACAGATTTACTGAGGAGGGTACAGGTGGGCACGCAAACTTTAGATTTAACTTCCAAAATAAATTGCACACCCTGTCGGAAACATTTTAACTCCTCAATTTTAGCGAAACAAATCAGTAGTACAATTGAACTGAGTTTTTCTGGGCAATTTTTCAACTTTCTTTAATATCTTTGGTGGCTGCACTACCAGACCTCCCCTAAAATCTACACTTTTATTGTCGTCACTTTACCAATTGACTATTAGCACTTTTAATATCCAGTATTTTCTTGCGTGTAGCATTTACAGTGAGATAAAAAATTTCTCTACCGAAGTCTTACGCTGTATATTGTGGAGTAATTCTTGTGAAACCAAAAATTCTTTTATCAAATTGACCAATTTTCGTCAATTATTGAAAGAAACTAGGTTAACTAGCGTGAGTTTATACACATGATATTTAATCATATAGTATTTCTAGTCACGCAGAGATCATATGACATTCTTCCTGAGATCAATACTTTCATTTTCTAGTCATCGTATTCATTGGAGAAGACGCCTTACGAAAATTTCGATAAAAGTGTGCAAAGCATTTTCATCAAAAGGTAAATATCATGTATTAAGTATTTGTTCGAATTTCAGTGACATAAGTAAAGTACATGGAAACGAACTCCTGAATTTGAATTCCAGTTTGTCACATATTGTTAAGATTATTTCCGTGAACATTCGCTATCTATATGTTGCTAAAAGTTTGATAAATTGTATGAATGATTGTAAGCAATGCAAAATTACATGCGATCCCAAACTCTAGTCTATGTAAATCACCTTTAGTTACTGCTTGTGATTAAGTGGTTAACTAAAAGAAGCTTCCACAAGATCGAAATATCTTCGAGTCTTCGACAGAAGATAAAAATCATTTAATAAACATTCACTCCTAGAAATGTTGGGACATAACACTTCCCAAATTTCAATTTATTGTTACATGTTTCGTTGTACTAATCACTGCAATGTTTGATGAATTTTTGATATTCGTTTTTTAAGTAACAATAGTTGATATATGTGATTCTACAATTGTTTTGATGTGAAACGAACAAACGCGCGCTATGCATGATGGTTGTTGGCAAATTCTATTTCAAATATCGAAAGAGTTTGTGAAAATTTATCTGTTGAAATTCAATTTTATTCTTAAGGTGTCGACAGCAGTAGACTGCATTTTATTTGATTGCTTTAAGTCATCAGTAAACATATTTATTTGAGAAATGACAAAAGGCTACTCTTCAAAACGGCTTTCACTTTTATTATGCACCACGTCTGCGTCCGCAAAGAATGATGGGGTTTTGTTACGACATAATGACGCATTTGCACATGTGATATTCTATAGTTCGCAATCTCTTACTTCATCATGATCATTCTCGTTGAACAGAAATTATGCTCGTTATTGACTTTAATGCATGGCTATAAGCACGCTACTTATTACGTAGTTGCAACTCTAGATGATTTGTAGTCGATGTTTACTGAAAATACATGATATTTTGAAGTCAAAATTGACCAATTCATCTAGTTTGACTTTTTTTTCTTTATATAGTGAATCATGAGCGCCGACGACGACGTTGATAACCTTGATCAACAAGAATTAGACAGTGTTTTATGTACTAAAGAAGGTAACATGTTTGAAATATTAAAGAATTTTTATTGAATTATCAACCTAAAGGTTAGAGTCCAACAGATCGTTTCAAAGATAACCATAAGCGTTCGATTTCTTTGATATTTATTAAAACAAAGCAAGTGACGTTTGTCGTTTCGTTTCGACTCAAGACATCTTCAAATGAGATGTAATTACTTAGATAGTTAAGGTGTGAGGTTTGTGTGGATGTGTACTTACAGTGTAAAGCTGATATTGAGTATTGTAAGGAAATGTAAGGAAGATTGTACAAGATATAAGGGGGGATGAGTAATCGGGAAATTTACCATAAAGAGAGCTGACAGGGACGTTCATTCTCCCCTAACTATTCCAAAGACCAATTTAAGAGTTTTTAAGATCTGAAGAGAAAAAAGGGAGTTATAGATAGTTGCTTCCTATGAAAGAGCACACAGCAAAGTAAAAGTAATAAACAGGAACTTTTGAGCATCGTAGTAAAGCCTAGGCCACACTATCGTCCATATCGACGAAAATTAGAACGAAAACTGCCGCAACAAAATTCTTGAACGAAAACTCAACGAAAATTTCGTTCTCGTGCATATTAGAAGAGTTGAACTTTTGACCTTTTTCGTTAACGAAAACGCATGCAATTGGCTAATAATCTAAAACTTAACTACACAAAGATGGCTTGGTGGCATGAGTTTTAATAAATCCGACGCGAGAAAAAAACAATTTGTCGTCATTCGCAAGTATTTTATGAGTCTGTTTTCTTTGTTCAGTTCTCGTAACTGTATTCAAATTGTTAAATTATCCAAGTCGATCACGTTGTTTATTAATTGGGTGAATCTAGTATCGGCGTTTGATTGTCTTGCTAAATGCTTGCTTTCAACTTCAGAAAGAGTACCTTCTTGCCAGAGGAAGACACCTTTTCTTTTTTTCCTTGTTTTGTTACTGCAACGACTACTACAAAGACACATCCAACAATAATACCGTTTACGTTTTAGCCGATCTTTGTAAACATGCTTGCAAATTTACGTCGTGTCTGGCATGTATTTCGTGCACGAATTTTCGTTTTGTTTTCGTTTTCGTGAATATAGACGATAGTGTGGCTTAGGCTTAAGTCTATGTAATTAGTCTGAGAAGTCTTGAGTCAAGACGAAACATCGCTTGCTTTTTTAAATAAGTACTGAAAAAGTCAAATGCTGATGGCTTTCTCAAACACGATCTGTTGGGATCTTATCTTATATTTAGAATTCGATAATATTTACGATGTATTTGACATAAGATGACGTTTTTAGTTGCGACCGATTGTTGAAATTCATATTCCATTGGAATCCTACAGTGGCAGTACGGCTCTACGAACGAACGATTTGTCTCTGAATCTAGACAGTAAATATCAATATGCTGCCCTGTTGAAGTGCTAGAAATCCTACGGAGGTAATGGTTACCCCAAAGGATTGGGGAAAATTGAAAAAACAATACATTTGAGAGAACGTTGCTAAATCGAACAGCGTACAAGGTTTGCAAAAACCTTTGGTGGAAATAAGTAGTTTGACTTCCAATGATTTATCTAATGTCAAATTTTCACATGTTTGTAGATGTAGATCATCCAGGTTAGTAGAGTCATGAAAAAGGCTGTTTTGTTGTTTTGACTGACGTTTCGACTTCCTTAGCAGTCGTCACCTTTAAAATCAAGTTGATTTTCAGGACTCTACTAACCATGACCATCTACATCTAGAAACATGTAACGATGCGCCTGGTTCAAACCATTTACGTTATTACAGTTATTGATGTTGACTGACGTTTCACTCTTAGCAGTCGTCTTTAAAGTCAAGTTACTTTCAGGATTCTACTAACCATGACGATCTCCATCTAGAAACATGTAACGATACGTCCGGGTTCAAACCATTTACATTATTACAGTTATTGATATTGACTGACGTTTTGACTTCCTTAGCAATCGTCACCTTTAAAGTCAAGTTCACTTTCTCAGGACTCTACTAACTATCGTAGATGTAGATGTAACGATCTACATCTAGAAACATCTAACGATACGTCCGGGCTTAAAACCATTTACGTTATTACAGTTAAATTTTCGTAAATAATAATCGTTGTTAGAGTAAAAAATTTGTAACCGACAAACTATTTTAAAATAGCTTGCGCCAAAATGACACCAATAGATTGCAATTAGAACGCATAAGGTTAAAATATGGCATATGTTGTTTCAACTAATAAAGTTTAGTAAATTTGGACGATTCTTACGCGAACGTTCATCTTCCGAATCGTAGATTAATTTGTGTTTTTCCGTTTATAAGACATTTTACATAAATCATCATCAATTTTTCTGTTTATAATGATTCAGGTTTTTGAAACTGAAATTTATACATAATTAAAGAGAGCTATAAAGTTATTCAAAACGAAAACAAAATAATCTGTGATTTGAACTAATTGTCTGTGTACGCCAAATTCCTGAAACTTCATTTTCTTGAACAAAGTCTGACATATTTTAATGCGATGCGTTTAAATTGCTTTGTCATTTTTGTGCGTGAGCTACTTCAAAGTACCTGTACATTCCTCCCTCTAAAAGGTTTATATTTGAAACAATTTACTTAACTATCAGATGAACCATTGAAGTCCAACTGCCTATTTCCATTTGAAATTTTGCAAATTTTCCGCGCTGATCAATTTAGCAAAGTTTTCGTCACTGACTATTTTTGATACCCGCACATACATCTCACAGTCACGGCCACCTGGTAAACGTTGATTGGTGGGGGAGGGTGTGTTATTCATATATTCAATTGTGCCTGACTGATTTTATTGAAAGCGAGTTGTTTAATTTCTGAAAGTTCCTATGAAACGAAAATTTTGCTATCTGAGTAATACTTTATTGAAGAAATATTTTAAAATGACAATGGATATTCTAAACCAGTTTATGCAAATCACTTTTAATTCTCGAGATATTGAGGCTTGCTATGTCCGATATATCTAACTTGTGACGTCACATTGCATAATGAGAACTAAAATTATGGTATATGTACTGATACTTTACTTCACAACGACAGATTTCATTTCATTGTGACGGAGTTAATGGTATAAAATGCTGCCTACTGGTATCAACCTGAAGTTGTGTGGAAACTGAAGAGTATTTGAAATAGAAGCCATTTTGCAATATGTGGGTACACTGTAATTTTGAAAACCACGACAAGCCGACAATTTAAAGAAATATAGAGTAGTAATTGGAGAGAAGACATCTTGAGATTGCAAAATATGCATCTAAACAGTTCACTTCGTCTGTTTTGATGCAATGTTTTAAAATCTCAAGATTCTTGTTTCTTCGTAATTTCAAAGGTTCTATCATTGCAAACATAATTTCATCAGTATTGGCACTTTCTTAAATTGTTTTCAAAACGTTGCGCAACAAATGAGAATGCCTCCCTCTCATTAAATTTCTATTGACAGCCCTACTCACAGTTCACATGATCTGCCTCAAAGTGATCCATTTAACAAATCTTGTTGTGCTTCATTCTGTCATTTTTCTTTAAGCTTGTTTACGATGTATTCCAATATGACTTTCCCGAGCCAAAAGATTGGCTGTCTCTCACTACATACCGTTCTCGACAACATTTTCAAACAAATAAAAAACTTTTTACTAGTTTCTATAATTTCTGACAGAGGAATCAAATCAAGTTAATGATACCAATTCACTCCAGGAAACAAATCAAGATGAACTAAATGGACTTGAATTAATAGACCTTGAGGTCAGTAATCTCTTTGAGGACAGCAGACAGAATATGGACTATCATCTTGATTTTATGTCGGTTCCTCCAGAACTTTGATTACTGTAATTTGTTATGGCATGTCGAAATACAATTTGTCTTTTTACAACCATTGAAACTGTTACAATGATCGTAAATATTACATCCATATGCAATTGTTTAGCAACCTCAATATTTGGGGGGGGGGACGTATTCATACATGCATGCTCTGCAGAATCAAATTCTTTTTGAAATCCATTGTTTTCTATAAATTAAGACATGCATTCATAAATTTGAACCCTCCCCCCTTCCTCATCAACGAGTTTACTACGCCCCCTGTTATGGAATAGACAGAGTAAATTAGAACATAAATAGAACATTTTTATCATTAGTCCATAGTAAAATGTAGACTTACTCAAGTAAGTTAATTAAGGTTCAAATATCGTCACGTCCAATATAATGCGAATGTCATTAATAGGAAAGTACATACAGGTTAGAGATATTATGGGAAAAACAACTTGATATTTTGTATCCAATAATTTCTAGTCAAATAAGGAGAGGCGCCCTATCTGTTGTAACCAAATAAGTTTTTGTTGTCAATGTTATTGGAATTGTCAAGGTTAGCCGAGAAGGTCAAGTATTCAAAAGTAACAAATTCAATAACCATTGGGAATAATAAAGCATTGTAACTGTGCAATAACTTTATTCGTAAGTATGCTTAACATATTGGACCAATGGGCAATGTAAATTGGTTATATTCAACGAAATTTTGTCCCTCTTTTGTTTCTAAGCACAGTAGATCGGGGATTTATCGTATATATTAATCACATTCTGCTTCCTAGCCTTGATAACTTTCATGTATTCAACACCTTGGTCCTTTGGGCTTTTAATTCTTGGAAAAATGAAAAAAATTTATAAGATCTTGCTATTTCCGTAGAGCAAGTAATATAATGACTTTAAAAAGTTTCTATAAAATGACCATTTTCAGCCGTCTGAGATCCGAATTTTCAAAGTTTTCTCATGATTTTGCCTCTGATCATTTGCTCATCTAATCATCTCGAGCATATATTTCTTGAACTAAGAATTTCTTTGGAAAGAAAAATATCATGTATCACAACTTCGTAGAGCATTGTAAACCTTCGTAAGTGAGGGCCTGAGGAGATAAAGAAATGACACGTGACATCATCAATGACATGCGTGGACGATCAATGTGTGGTATAAATATGTCAATATAGCGTCGGCCTTTGGGGCTTTATCTTTTTTTCGCTTCTATCTTGCCAATGGGCCAGTAGCTTTAGACTTTGTACTAGAAATTAGTTTTTCTACGAAGAACTTGTTGTTCCATTATTTTCACTTTCAAGTAGCCTTATGTCATTAAGATTGATCATCCCAACCAACCCGTCACAAAATTATAATTATTATCAGGCGGTTGCGTGGTCAAAAACATGGCGATTTTGCTGTTTCAAAGTCAGCGGAAAGACGCGGGCTCATGAAATGAAATTTTTTCGCCCACCCGGATTTGACAACCACAATTGCGATTATATAAAATATCAATGCCAAGCACAAAACTTTAGAAATTTTATCTTTAAAACATGCTGCAAACTTGTTTGGTATACGGATGCTGAAGTAATGCCAGAAAAGGAAACATTTCATTATGACACCGTTTTACCTCATTTAAATGTGTGTCTATTTCACAAAAACCTGAAGCATTATTATTTTCATATTTTATGCTTATTATCGTGGTATGTCATTATTATGAGCAGTAACAGAGATCCGTTTTCGGGAGGGAGCGAATACAAAAATTTTTCTCAAAGTGGAAGTTTTGACAACCAAAATCCGCCATTACCGCCATGTTTTTGACCACGGGGTCCAGGCCCCTTTGCCCCTCCAGGTCTTTTAGAGCTCAATGATTTCACCAAAGTATTTGTATAAAATAAAAAAATTATTTTACGTTTGTCGTCATGGTTACAGCATGTGCCATGTGTTTCGACTATGGAAGCTAACAACAATATTTTTGAATTTTGATTTGAACGCTATAATTTAAGTCGTTCTAAAGTAATTTGCTAAATTGGTGTGTGAACTATTGCCGTAAGTTAGAAGCTTAAAACTAAACTGTAGACTTGCGCCTGTTTCATACGTCGTATTTTACATGACCCAAATATTTGAAAGATAATGAGAATTTTATCTCATTTTCCTTGCCCCTATGCATCTGGCGTAGGGTTAAATGAAGAGCTTTGAATGTTGATGTGAGCACTTAAGGATAAAAGGTTAGTTAAATCTTTTCAATGGAGCTCATACATTTAATGTCTATTCGAAATTAATATTATACATCGAAATGGCTACTTGCTACAAACAGCACCCTTTTCTGGTGGTTTGCTGTGAGTCAAGAACAGGTCAGTCTGCATCTAAGTCTAAAATAAATCGTGAATTCTGAAACTACTGTCAAGTAATCATAAATGATCACAGGGAAGGATTTACTGAGGGTTGCAAAGCTAGGGATGTACACCCATCATAACCTTGGTTAGAGAAGGTGCAAGAGGGATGTCATTTTCACTGTAATTTTCGTGTATTCTTTTGCAAAAGCAAAATGTTTCCATAGTTGCGTAAAGACATTTTGAATTGAAAAACTTCCATCTAATATAACGGTAAGAATAAGATTTTACATCCTTAGATGGCGACTAGAATTAATTTCATTTTATTTACCTATTTATAAGTAGAACAAAGATGGTTTGTCATTTAAATATTTGTGCAATTAAAGAACAATGATCATTTTAGTTACAGTTCATCTCGTTCAAAACTACGAAAATTGCTTTATTTATCGTGATAAGCATTTAAACAGGGTTATTGTCAAACCATAAAATACAACAAACATAAACGAGATATTCAAGTTAGATTTCTAACATTGTTTAGGGAAGGAAATGAATATAAGTGAAGCGGAACATTAAATCACTGTGTTTAACATGATTTGTTCTCGTTCGAAAGTTATTTTTGTCATCGTTTAATTTTAAAATTATCGTTGTAGAGGGTTTTCATCACTTAGTTATGTACATCAACTTATTTTGAACTTTTGATATGATGAAACTTGTTTGTTGATATGTGTTGATTTGCTACTGAAATAACATACTAAAGTCAATATTTTATATGTGTTCTTCATCGTCATTTGACTCTGAAGTTGACTCCTGCTAAGGTTGTCAAAACATCAGTCAACAACAACAAAAACAGTCCTTCTCAGGACTATACCAACCTGAACCATCTACATTTACAAACATGTAACGATACTCCCGGGTTCAAACCATTTACTTTAAATATAATTTTGTTACAAGATTTCTCTATTTTCTTGGATTCATTCATGTACAGGAAGATCAATAATTGTTGGGTGGGGCTCATATTAATTTATGTATATGATATGTTTTTATTCTTCAGTTGCTAGCTATTTCATGCAGTTTGCCTATTTTTTTGAAATAATAATCTAACTAATGAAAAATGGTTTTGGTCATAGGCATACAGATTCTTACATCTTACACAATTTTGGGTCAACTCTCATAAAAATTATGCCCACCAATTTTTTATTGGTTTTCTTATTACAATGTTTTGTTGACCATTTTTATTGCTTTCATCACTTTTGTTGACTTTTTTAGCAAGAAAAACTGTGGCAGGACTGTAGGATGATTGTTAATTTGGAGATCATATTATGTATGCATAATATAGGCTACATGTGTTAAGTTCCTTTGAAAACCATTGTTGTCTAGGGACCATTGCATCCAAATGTTTATGTCACCCCAACCACAGTATAGAGAATATACAGTAGGACCACTTTCTGTGCAACTTACTGCTGTATATATAATTATATTACTGGGTGTAGTTTGCCAGCTCAGTGCACCAAAAAAATGGTAGTGTATAACTGCCACTAAGGTAATCACTTGCGGAATAAGATATGCATGGCACAAAAATATTCAATGCCATCTACTGTATGTTCTCCATAAATTTATACTATATGTTCCTATAACCGTGCCCCAATTACATTATGTCTTCCTTAGGTCCTAAGTCGTGAATGAAGTATTAGTCCAAATAAATTACACCTGCTCGTTATTTTTATCATAATACCTTCTAAACAATGATAATGGTTATGAATTTTTAAAGAATGAAATTTTCAGTGGTTTAGCTAGACTGATAAAATGTTTAGTCCTTTAATGTACGTTTTTATATTCTTTTACTGTGAAAATAACAGACATTTTACCTTTTGAGTCTTAAAGTGTCCCTTCCATCAAAAATATTTTTTTAGCAAAATCAAATCTCTCGATAGTTTTAAGCCTCATTGAAGAAAAAGTTTTGAGTTTGGTCAAATCGTTTGATTTTTGTAAAAGCGTTAAATTAACTAAAATCCTATATTCTTCTTGTGAACCATGTCCGTGATAAAGAGGAGTCTGAACCTAGCTAATGTTTCGACGTCATCCAAGGTAGTCGTGTTACACGAGTCGTGTATTCAATTGCAATCAAGTCAATGCTGGCTGAGGCACAACTTAAGTCTATAAGCGCATAAAAGCATTGTCTTTGCACTAGTAAAAGCAGAAAAAAGGTAAATAGTTGCGTTGCAGCCAATTGTACGAATGAGTCAAGCCTTTGCTCTCGTATGAGTCTTAACACTATGCCTTATAATGATAAAAGGCCCGAGGCCAAGCGAAGACGGAATATCTGGGTTTTAAAGCAAAGCCCGTATTTGAGCCTTCCCGTGCTTCAACACTTTGTTCGGCTCGATTAAAACCAGAGGATTTGGAGCGTCAATTTAGTAGTTTGCCGAATCAAACGAACGCTAAGTTCCCAGGGCTTAAAAAAGATAATATTAGAATTTGTGTCTTTCCGTCCATCCATGCTTTGGAGTCAAAATCCGAACCATTATCGCTGAAGTTTCGTTGCTTTCCGAGTTTTCTGTCACGTATCCCGGAATAAAGTTTTTGTCAGAATTATCTGATTGAACACTCAATTCTTGTTTTGATTCATCGCTTTCTTCGCAAGACATATAATTAAACAGCGCGAAAGAACGTATATGTTTAATATAAGCCAAATATGCCCGAATGCTGACTATATTGGATGACGTAAAAATACCTTCTAGTGAAGGAATGATTTCATTTTGTGGCATTTTGACATCAAAATATTTTTGTTATTTCTCATATGTTATTATTACGGAATGGCCTTGGGACTTGACCTTGGGAATGGCCTTGGGACTTCACTTAATAAAAAATACAACACTAAGCAGTTGGACTACTGACTACTGTTTGTTCCATGTACTGTAACTATGGTCAAGGCTACCCACATGTACACACTTGTACCTATTTATTATGTGCCTTTTTCATCTGGGGACGGTTGCACGAAGCCTGGATAGCACTATTCGTCGGACAGTAAATTTTCAAACTTGTAGAAAAAGGTGTTTATATTTTCCTTAGGGGAAAGAAATTTTGTAATTTAAGAAGCAATACAATATTTTATTTCAATGTTGCTCAGTTCAAATCACATATTATTCCCTTTTAAGAGATTTTGCAAAAATTCAAAACAATTTGCCATCTAATAGATAAAACTATTCTTCCTTCGTGTAACCGGACTCTGGTTTTCTTTTATAATCACAATGAATTTGTACCATGGAAATTTTACCTACTTTTTTTCTGCAGGGATCAACATTATGTCTGTCTTGAGCTCAGACATAAAAACTAATGGTTTTAAGTTTATGAGATTAATTGTTGATGTTGGTGCAGAAGCTTTAAGAATAACATTGAGGAAACAACTGTCAGGTACAGATTTATTTTATGTTTTAAATGACAGAAAATATTATGATAAACTTTTGTTGCTAAAAGATAGGCAAATAAAGCAACATCAATGGGATCAACTGTATCCAAATCCTCCAATATTACCAAATGAAAATAAGTTTGACATTACTTTACTTTGTATTCTCCTGCGTAATATTTGTGGTTTAAAGCCACCTCGTGATCCAATATGGACGTCAGTAAATGACCCAACTGATTATTCAACTGAAGCAGACATTACGCGTATCAGGTTATTTCGTAATGATCGTTTTGCTCACTTACCTAACACTTCAGTAAGCTTTGATGAATTTGAAGATTTTTGGGTTAAAATAAGCGAACCATTAGTTCGTTTAGGAATAAGTCAGGAGGAAATAGATAGAATAACAAGTGAAGTGTATTGTAATGAAGAATATAAAAGGATTTTGAAAGAATGGGATGAATTAAAGATTGATATAGAAGTTTTAAAATCAGATCTTAAAGAAATTAAGAGCGATTTAACTGATATTAAAACTGATCAGAGAGGTATTAAGAGAACAGTGGAAGGTGTAGAGAAAGGTTTGCAGCAGGTAGAGAATCGCTTCTGTGTGATTGAAAGTAAACAGGAAGAAATGAAAAGTAATCAGGAAGAAATGAGAAGCAATCAGAAAGAAATTGAATGTCCAATTCACTCACGTCCAGTAGAAGATATTTTGGCAAAACACCTTGTTAGCTGTAACTTTGAAAGTGAAATTAGGCATCATTATGAAAAATATTTGCATGGAACACGTGAATGGGTTTTTAAAGAGTTTTTAGATTGGTTTGAAGACAATACTTCTCAAAATCGTGCATTTGTTATTTCTGCTGTTGCTGGTATGGGTAAGTCTGTAATTGCAGCTACTTTATGTAAACGTTTTCCTCGATATTTGACTGCAATTCATTTTTTTCAACACAAAAACAGTCGTTACAATAAAGCCAATGTACTTCTTCAATCTTTAGCGATGCAAGTTAGTCGTCTTTTTCCTGCTTACGAACAACTTCTTGTGAAAAAACTTTCAGGTCAACTCTCTGAGCCTTTGAATAACATGAATGTTGAAGGATTATTTTCCCTTCTTTTTACTGAGTTATTTGTTACAATTTCGGAGTTTCCTAAGCGAATTCTAGTGGTATTAGATGCTCTTGATGAATGTGGTTGATTTCTAATTTATGTATGTAGAAGATATTATCTGTAGCATGTTATACTTTAGCGTTATATAAGTCTTGCGTATGAGCTCTGAACGTGATTTCAATGTACTAGAACGCTATTAAATTTTGTGATTATTTTATTCACTAGCAAAGAAGTTATTTACAACAGTCGTGAGTATTCTATATGTTAGAATTTATTTACAGGCTTTTTATATATTTTGATAAACAAGGTGCAGTTATTACACAGTGGATAATGTACTTGAAATTTGAGTAGTTTTACGTAATTATAAAGTTAAGTGCGTAAGTTTAAGTAGCGCGTTTGAGTAAGTGTAGGATTGGCTATTTCTTCTGTTGCTAATACAGAACCCCTAGATAGCTTCGCGGCATGCCGCGAACCTCACCCCCAGCGCTTGCCTATTAAATTCGGTCACCGCACGCCACTGCTTTTGTGTGAACTGCAGTGAATCGTAATTAGGCAAAAAGATTAACAATAATATACGTCTATATGAAGTATAAACATAGAGTGTTGTCTGTATTGTAGGACATCATAAAACCAAAAAACTTGTGCTTAATTATAACCCTTACTGTTGTCAACGTTCTGAAGATTTTATAAGTCTTATAAGATTTTACAGTGAATACACAGACTACAGCTGACACAACACAGATGCTACAGTACCATTTAAAAACTTTGCAATATATTTTATGAGACAAAAAGTTGATCTTTTTTGACTTTTTGGTCCTTAAAGATTGGCTTTTTCGTGTATGAAGATGAGGTGCTGTGATTGGGTCTAATTCACCTAAATTTATGCGAAAATAATTGTAGCCAATCTGCAATGCCTTTGAACATTCAAAAATATGATGAATGACAGGGTAAGTGCTCCATGCATGGGTTTTTTACAAAACATTTTTTACAAACTCTAACTCCAATCTCGTTTTTCATTTAGATACAAATAGATTTTGAAGTTAAAAGAGCTGCAAAAATGTAGTAAAATCACTCGTTATTATTCCCCCCTAATTTTTTCGTGTTTTGTAATTTGCATATGAGATATTTTAATTTACGGTTTTGTTAAACTGTTTTCGTTATCGGTCGGTCATTTTGTGTTGAGAGCAGGCACGTAACCAGGGGGGTGCACTGTGTGCACGTGCATCCTCCCATAACTAAAAAGGTCCACTTTTCTATGCTAGTTTGCTTTACAGAAATAAAAGAACAATAAACATTTATTCAAGAAAGCATCGTCGTCGATTTTAATTTGACACTATATTTTAAATTTACCGTGAAAAGAAAATCATAGAAAAAGCTATTTGTTCTATTCGAAAGCATTGATGTAATGCTAAATTTCATAAATATATAATTGTGTTATATATGTTCCTTTTTATCAAATGTTCACCCCCCCCCTTGAAACTTTCTGGTTACGGCCCTGCTACTACCTTGTCAAAATATAGGACTGTTTAGGTTTAGATTTAAACATACATACGTGGAAGTCACGCGAGATCACGCGCGTGACAAATTGAACATGAATATGGAAAATTATTTGGACACCAAAAGGAAATTTCCACTTGAATGTTTACATGTGCTGCATTAATTTAACACAACTTTATTATTAACTTTTCTTTCATATTTTCTGAATTATATTTTGAAAAGATCCTAATCCATTTCCTGGGCCTGAACTCAATTCATTATGAATGGAGGAATTTTTTTCAATTTTTTTGATGCAAGATATGCATATCTCGAAAAGAATTGGCAAATTCATGTCTGACAAGCATTTAAGTAAAAAATATAAATGACTGGACCAACATCAATCTTATAACTTTGTAAAAAAGCCTTAACCAGATAACCAGATAAAAAATACGGCTAATCTGATGTTTACACCTCATTTGACTCTGAAGATGACTACCGCTAAGGTTGTCGAAACGTCAGCCAACAACAACAAAAACAGTACTTCTCAGGACTATACCAACCTGGACGATCTACATTTACAAAGATGTAACGATACTCCCGTTCTCAAACCATTTACTTTAAATATTTGTTTTATAGTTGCTAACGAATTAGTAGATGTTGTGGAAAAGCAATTACATTTTGAAGAAATTGGACTAACAAATATTCAAAATAAATCATTGTGCTCTGAACCGCAACTTGGAGAAGAATCGCATTCCACAACTTTGGCTGAACAGTTATATATTGATGATGCGATTTTAACACCGCTTGCAGTTAAGAGTCTCCAAAATTGTGATGCTTTTGAGATAAATTCTTTCCAAGGTTTGTGAGTAATATATATTATCCTTTTACTTGTCAGTCTTTTTATAAAAAAGATGTTCCAATTACATATTATAAAAGAAAAGCATCTATTAATTTGATTGTATTGTAATAATGGTGTAAAATATCATTGGGAATTAATTCAAGTGGAATATAAAAATAGAACAGTCGGAAATAATGTGGCTTGTTGCCCATCTTTACTACATTAATATGCCGATTACATGGAGCAATTTCAGCCCGGTTTGAGTTATCCGGGCTGTTATTCAGCCCGGGCTGGAAATTCTCTCAGGTAATCGTTTAGCGCGGGCTGAAACCACTGCTGATATTATTATTCCCGCATGCGTGGCAATATTAATGCTTTTAAAAACAACAAAAAAATGTATTATACTCTGAAATTTCTCGGAGTTGACGAAAACCTCCGAAAAAATTGAGTGAGAAAAACAAGATATATGATTTGGGTCAAAAATTGCAAAAAGCTGGACAACTTAAGACGTTATTTAAAGGTTGATAGAATTCGATACTTCTGATTTTACCTATGAAAAATTCAGGCAATACGAGGTGGTTTGGTTTCGTCTCGCTAAAATATAAGGTAGTGACAAAGTGTTAAGAAATAAAGCGTTCGTTCATTTTCTTGCTGCCATGTTTTTAACGGTTTGTGTTGCACTCCTTGCACTGTTTTAAATTGAACGACAACTGGCGAGCATGCTTCGGGCAAGCATCGTGACATTCAGCCCGGCCGTTTGACAGGGTTGAAATTGACCATATAATCATACAAAATTTCAGGCCGGATGAGCGGGCTGAAATTGCTCCATGTAATCAGCTCCTAAATGTAGTATGTTGCAGGTGAAAATTCTGAAGGAGCTACCTTTGTCGAAGAAAGTATCGCAAATGAGTTTGTGGAGCGAGAAGTATTGCTTATTCATAGTTGTAACGTGAAAGCTGACTTCTTGCACTATTTTGAAAAATATGATATTTTAAAGAAGTGTGTGAATGTCAAGATGATTGATTCCAGAGATGTTGAGGAAAAGATTGAAGCAGTCGGCGTTGCCAGAGATGCATTTTCTCTCTTTTGGAATGAAATATATAATAGTTTCATGTTAGGCGAGGATTAACGAGTCCCAGTGATTCGTCACGACGTTACCCGGGAAAAGTGGCAAGCGATAGCTAGAATGGTTGTGAAAGGTTATACTAAAGAGCGCTATTTTTAAAGCAAAATATCTCGAGTTTTCTTGTGCTCCTGTATTTTTGACGAAGATTTTGTCTCAAAAGGTATGTATCTGGGTTCCTTTATGAAGTATAATTCGACCACTCAGTCTAGTGTGGTCGAAAACGTACTTTCTCGTTTGTCTTGCAGTTGATGATGAAGATGTACAGGATTTTTTAACAGCGTTTGAGTGCAAAAAAATTAGCAACTAAAGAACTTGTTTGTTGAAATTGCTCACAAAGAACTTGTGCAAAAACCACGATACGTGACGGATTGCTGGTTGGACGTCTTGCATTTGCTAAAACCACTCATTATGTCGACTGACGGCCTGTTTCAGATTTACGAGTCGCTCCATCCTAGTACACAAAACGTCTGCAAACTTATTAAGGCAGATCCAAAACTGGATCTTAAAAGGTGGATTAAAGGTTTGGATGCAAACGGACTGGCTAAATTCTTAAAAATTTTAACTGGATCTGATTTTTTTTTAAGTGAAGCAATTGAAATCGCAATCTTTTTACTTGTGTCCAAATCCCATTAGCAACAAGGTCTTTGAAAAAGTTTAACCACCACGACGAATATGCTCGACGCAGCAAAGCCCACCATGCTTCAATTCTTTGATTGCTATGGGAAGAGCCATATTGATGAGCCTTTATTCCAGATAATACATAGGGGTGAGTGCGTAGTAAGAAACTCAGAGCTGTAGCCATTACGCCATATTCCGTCCTCTGTCAGTTCTTATGATGGTCGGGCAGCTTTGTTGTTCTTTTACACAATTTAAAAACAAGCTTTCAATATCGTTTTTATTATTGCTTTTTGTGATTTCAAGGCACATGATGCGTCGACTAAGTCGTACACTACAAAGACAGCTCATTAAAAGTCTAAAGAGCAATGTTCATATTGTAAAGACAGTTCATAAACTTATCTTCGCCAGTTTTAAATGAAGTTAAATATTAAGTTAAATGACTCTATAAGTTGCTGCAATTATACAATGAGCTTTTAGGCAACTTATGAAATACTGGTAACCTCTTAGAGTTTTTGGAATTTTGATGATTTTCATTTCACTTTGTCGAAAGAAGTTTGCAGTTGCACTAATGTATTTACCATTTTACTTTGATCTTTAAGTTACCCACGCGTACACTTAGCGTACCTACTTTTACATTTGTTTACGTGAAAACGACGTTTTATATGAAATACAAATTTGAGTTGGCTTACCTACATACCAACATTCGTTATTCACGTTAATATTTTTAATTGAACTCATTGAATTAAATGAATTACACATTGAGTAGCACATACTAATTTGAAATGTGTATTAAAATATTTATAAACTAAGATAAATATATACTATCAAAATCTGCATTAAGGAAATATGCCTCGTCCACCAACTCATATAAATTTAATCTCTCCAAGTGCTTATACACTCTACTTAACCCTGTCATACCCAATGATTACACTACATCAGACTGTTTTACTTTTGTTAACGAACTAAACACCCAAAACCACAACAACAACTACTTCGTTTCTTTTGACGTCAAAGTCTTTTTCCTAATATCCCCTTATCAGAAACCATAGACATTGCATTAGATCTTATTCATTCACACCAGCCCAACCTTATCATTAAAAAACAAGACCTGAAACAACTTTTTTTCATTGCCACCTGACGAACTTATTTCCTATTTAACGGACAATTTTTTTGTCAAATCGACGGAATCACGATGGGCTCACCATTAGCACCACTTCTGGTAATCTTTTCATGGGATATCATGAAAAGAATTGGATCAAGAACTATGACGGACCTAAAGTATTGTTTTACAGACGCTACGTTGGTGACATATTTTGTATTTTCAACAACGAGGATGACGCTCTTTCTTTTTTTAATTATTTAAATTTACAACACAAGGACATTGACTTTACCATAGAAAAAGAACACGACAACAAGTTATCATATTTAAACATACACTACTAAAAAAGCCACGAACACATACACGACATCTACTTGTCATAAAAAAAACTTACACTGGCCTATTACTTAACTTCGTTAGCTTCACCTCACAATAGTATAAGACTGGACTGATTAAAACTCTTATCGACCGCATACGGAAAAATAACAACACGTCGACTGGCTATTGTCATGATTTAAACGCTCTTATTGACAATCTCAAACGAAACTCCTTTCTCTCGCCTTTCATAGAAAAAATCATTAAATCATATGACCATAACAAAAACACAAAATTAATAAACACCAGAAACGAAACCACACCTACCCAACTCGAGACTTACTTCTTCAAACTACCCTACTCGTCTAATTTAAATATCGTCTATTTTTAAATAGACGACAAAGAAATTTGTCTTATAAGTGAATTGTTACATTTAACTGTCACAATTCACGAGGTGTCACTTCATAATCAGACAACCAATTAATTTCAAGCCAACACATACTGACCGACAACTAAACCAATCATCTTACAACCCTACATCACATAAAGCCACCACAATCAGAACATTAACAAGACGTGCACAAATCATACGTGATTCACCGGACGCTCTACACAATGAAAAGGACTATCTCAAACGTGTTTTTGACAAAAACAACTATAACTCTCACTTTATCAAACGCAACACTTACAAACCCAACGAACCCAACGAAACGAACAACTCAGTGAAAACAGCAACGATACTTTACATCAAAGGTACGTCTGAGACTATCTCGCGTATCTTACGACCATACAACATACGTGTCGCACTTAAACCAATCACAACGTTACGACAAGTACTAACGAACATAAAGGACAAAGAACAACCCAACGAACGACAAGGTACAGTTTACAAAATAAACTGCTCCGACTGCCACGCCTCCTATATCGGGGAAACTGGCAGGAACTTAAACATAAGACTTACTGAACACAAACGAGCTACTAAGAAACAAGACAAAACTAATCGCATTGCCGAACATCACCGAATCACAAAGGACAACATTGACTGGGACTCGGCAAAATGCATTACTTACAGTACTGACTATAGACAACGGCTTACATTAGAAAGTTGGCATACCAACTTGGAAAAAACCCCCCTGAACAGATCACAGCAATTACCGGCACCTTACAAACGATATATTCACAATACAAACAAACGATCAACTAAAAACATTACACTTCACACTAATTCAAAATGACGATACACAATTGACACCCACACATTACAACTAAAAACATCGCACATAAATCACACATCACAACTAAAAATAAAATATTTCACTTCACACTAATTCACAATGACAATACACATTTCCTGTACACACAACACAATGACATAAGAACTAGATAACAAATACAGCTAACCTGACGTTTAATCCTCATTTGACACTGAAGATGACTACCGCTAAGATTGTCGAAACGTCAGTCAACAACAACAAAAACAGTCCTTCTCAGGACTATACCAACCTGGACGATCGACATTTACAAACATATACCTTTTCTTTTGTTATAGGATCTGTATTGTATGAGTTATTAGCAGAAAATACACATCGAAAAACTTCCGCTCTTTTCACATGTTTGCAACATATCACCTCCCCCCTCCTCTCCCCCCTTATAAAGCAATGGTCTTGGCGCTCATGCCAGCGGAAGTAATCGTACATATACGTGTTTAACTTTTTTTCCTTAGTCTTGCGTTTTTGTCATCGTTTGTGGTTGTTTGGTTTTATGAGCTATGAAAAATTATATGTGTGTATGAAATTTATGAAATGAAAGAGAAAAGAAATCGTCGGAATGTGCGCGCGAGCGATGCAATTTTCAAACGTCGCATGCTTCATAATTCCGTAAACACATCGTCATTAATGTCTGTAAAACGTACAGTGGTAAGTAAAGTTTTTTAATGATTTATAA